CCCTGCATCCTGAGCCCTGCCAGCTCAGGTCAGCTGACATGGGCCAGCCATGGGTGTTTTATTGTAGTGTAAACATTCCTTTAGTGACTCTTTCATGGTTTCATGTGGAGAAAGTAGATATAACTTAAAAGCAGAGCAGTGTGAAACTTGCACAATAAACCTCAAATCAGGTGAGCAAGGCACAGCTGGGAGCACACCCTAGACCAGTTTAGTGTTTTGGCTAGAAACTTTGCAGTTCTCAGTATGAGTGAAACCAGGCAAAATTTAGCAGTTTGGGCTGTATTTTACTTTATTTGTGGGTTCATTTGAACCTGAAGCAAAATAGATCTTAGGATGAGACTATGTCTTTAAATAAAGGATTGCACAAACTAATGCCTGGGTGGCAAAACCACTGAGTTTTCATGTAGCTCACATTAAATTGGAGTAAGTTAATAATTCTGTTTAAATAATAACAGTTCTGCTGTTTATTGGAGTCTACCTCTTCAGTTCTCTCATTCTTTTTCACTGACACGTACCATCCAGGACAGGCCATGGGCTAGCTAGTCTTACACTCCCCACAAAACTGCACGCAAAACAAGATTGCAATATAGTGAGCACATCTGGAATATCACCCTCTACTTGTTCCTTCACTTCGTAGTCATTTGAATTTGCCAGTAGCTTGGTCATGCAGTCCTGGCAGCTTGTTCAGCCTTGCTCAATTCCTCACAAGAGCAATGGGTAATTACAGGTCTAAGATGAAGAATGATCTAAGCTGCTAAGCAAATGTCAGTAAACTGGTGAGTTCTGAGGGAAGTGTTACTGATGTCTGTAACCCTTGGAAAGGGCTAGCTATGATTTTAATATCATAGCAAGTGCAATACATTCAATATGTTCCAAAAGCTGTTTGTGACTACCATGAACCAAATTTCCAGCATCAAGAAGTCTTTTGCTCCTCCACATGTTTGTGATTGCTCCTGCAAAGGCGGTTTGGAATCCATTTTATGCAAGCAAAATCTGAATGTACACATGCAAAATGGATAGCTGGGCAAGCAACAACCAACGGCACAGTACGAACATGAAAATTGCCAACAGTGCCTTTCAGGGGCAGGAGGTGACGTTAGCTAGCGATCCCTATTAATTTTTAAGGGAAAGAATTTCCACCTACTACGATAAACACAGCTTGATATTAGGTCTAACAGAAATCTTAGCAGGCTGGGTGTTAGAAATGATGTGTGGGGAAAAAAGACGGTGTGGAGTTTTCTTCTAGTTTCAAAGAGAAACTAAGCTGCAACGAAATAAATCACTAGGCTAGACAGCAAAGGCACATTGAAGAATCATGTAGTCATAACTTGTCCTTGATTAAATAAAAGGTTCCTGGTCACAGAATTTGTGCCAGACCTTATTTGTAAACACACAGAGTATGAGGAAAATAAAATGCAGTTTTATACATTGCCATTCATGATTAATTTGCAGTATTTTAAACACACTTCGCCAAGTTAAATACTAGTAGCGCTATGACTGTGCAGACATTATGTATGCAGCTCTGCCTCACACACACAACCTTAAATATTAGAACCTTCTTTGATGATAAATAATATCTAAATATTGGCTAGGACACTAAAATACCATGGGATACAATACTTCCACCCGTACAGCCACTGATGATGAACAGAAGGGATGTGGTATGATGTCTCCTCTGAAGGACAGGATAGTCATATTCCGTAATAGTATATCACATTTTAAAATAGTAAATGATAATCAGAGGAATAATAAAACCCAGAAAATCACACCAAAAACAGCAATACATCAAAGCCATTTTAATAGCTCTTAATACAGTCACTGACATAGCTACTGTACTTGCAGGGCTAGATGATGGCACAGACAAGGTTTCTGATTTTACATTCATTACATCCTAAAAGTTTCAGTTGCTTCTTGCATGTAAATTACAGGTAATGAGTGTGCTGATAAGAGGTTGCACTTAGCTGACTCTGCTAGAATGGTAAGATTGAAAAGGGGATACCTGGATAAAAGAACTTCTTTCTCCCTTGAAAAATCAAGAAGTAAAAGCTAATTTCATGGAATTGCTTATATCTCTTGGTTGGCTACTGCACCCATGTCATAACTCAGTATTATTGGATGGTGACACAGGAGACATGGTTTTATGAGGTAGGGGCAATCCCATGCTGATCAAATCATCTCACATGCTACTGAAGCTTAGATCTAATTTATGATGTTTTATGAAGCCATAGATTGAGCTAAGACTATAAAAACTGGAACTTAATATTCTAAAATAAAAATGCACAGAGTACCACTGAAGGGTTATTTTTTAAAGGAGTCATTTCCTTGTTGCATTAAACATAACTAATACTGTAGCAGTAGTGGCATTCTCTTTAAATGAGGGGATTATTAGACAAAGGCAATAGGTTTTTCTTATTTTAAGTATTGGTATTTACTTGTATTAATAAATAATCCTGATTGCACAACAAAAATGTACCTGTTATTAAGGTGGAATTTATTAGCCATTATTATATTATCCAAAACTTTGTTTCATTATGATCTGTGAAGTATTGTGAATTCTATTACTCATTTATTTTTAAACCTTTTCTGTGTGAAGGAGCACAGAAAAGCCCTCAAAGCACATCTGCCTGCCAGATCTGCATATTTTTGGCCCGAGTGCCCAAAATACAGAGAGGAATTGAAATTTATGTGCAGTGGTTTTAAGAACAGTCCCTCCATCTACGTACCTGAGGGAAAAGATGAGATTCCTTTTTCCTGTGTTTGAAAATGAAAGCAAAACCCCAAATTTTCTAATTCATTCTGCACCTTCTAGGACAGCCACTCGCATCTTATACTATCTCAATGGTGTTAATGTAGCTCTTTTACAATCCTTAACCAGGAAATACTCATCTGTTATTCTCTAAGGCCCTGATTCAGCAAAGTATTTTAACACTTTAATTTTAGGCATATAAGTAATCTCCCCCCAATTCAGGAAAGCATGTAAGCACTCACTTAATTTCCATTGGTGTTCATGGGATTTAAGCATGTGCTCAAGTGTTTTGCTGGATAGGAATTGGATTAGTTATATGCTTAAAGGTAAGCATGTGCTCTGAAGAACTGGGGCCCAAAATTATTAATGAAAATTATCTAATTATACAGCAACTGTACAAGAAATCTCTCTGAGGATACCTGAGGTGAAATTGTTTTGAACATGGGTTGCATGCAGACTTTGTTTTAGCTTTGAGGTACTCTTACCTTATTAAGATCTTGGACTAGAATTTTCAAAGGTGTCCAACTCCCTTGGGATTCCAAAGGGCTCTGAGTACTTAACTCACTAAAGCTCCTTTGAAAATGTCAGCCTTGATCTTTAAAGAAGTGAGCTAGTGGCAGACTTAAGTGCTGAGTAGTCTCGATCATGCTAATGGTTTAAAGCAGCTCAGGACCTGAAGTCACTTCTAATTTGAATTAAAGGATTAAAATAGCCTAAACTGACACAAATTCTTAAAATATCATAATGGCAGCTTTAAGGAATGAGCACCCTTAGCTTTTAAATTTATTAAGGTCACCACTGAGTTCTCCTAAAAAATTAAAAATGGCTTAAACACTTAAGCTTCTTGTACTCTGTGGGTAGTTTCATGGCAGCTGTAAGATTTTAAATAGTTTAGCATTTAATGCTTCTAGTAATAAGCTACCTAAACTGCTTAAACCTATCTTAAAGAATTTAAGAGTGCAATTGCGAAACCCTTACACATGCTGGTGGGCAGTAACTCACACAAACAAACCCACTGTCTTCACTAGTACAATGTACCTTTAGATTAAAGGATGAGCTTAAAGTGCCTTTCTGAGTAAAGATAGCTAAAAAGTTGACAGAGGTAGTCCATGGCATTAAGGGTGCCTAATTTCTTTTTTTGTTTTTTAAACTGAAAACCAGCAAGAGAATGAGATGGCAAATTCTTAATAATTTCAAGGGGAATAGGATTTGGTCTCATCTCCTTCTGATGTAGCTGTCAACCAAAGCTGCATTTAAAAAGGCTAATGGGGCTTTAAAAAGGGTAAGGAGCATATTGTGCTATTGACTATGAAGCAGTACTCCCTATTGAAACCAACAGGGAGTTTTGCTTCAAAACTGTTAGTACCATTTGGCTTATGACATGAAACGAAATGTTAAGGAGTGTGCATGTTTTAAAATGACAGATTAATTCCACTTCCCATATGCACAGGAATGTGACAGCTAGCGTTTCTCATTACACTAGTAACTTTTGAGGTAGATTGTGCCCTAGACACTATTGGACATAGTGGAGAGTGTACTCTGCAGCTGGAGTGCCCATAAGAAATGCTAGCTGACTCAGCAAGATTTCCTCCTGGCAGCTGCCGTTCAGTGTACACCACTCATAAAGAGAATACAGCATATTCACCCTTACGCACTGGCTAGCGTGCTGGGGTTGGGAAAGAGGCCATAGACCTGCCCTTGCTCAGCTCCTCTCTCCCCGTGTCTCCATTCCCCCTCTGAGGCACCTACTGAGAAGAAGCAGGGATTGCATGCCGATGAAAATTCTGGCAACCCCCTGCACAGGCTCCTTGTGCCCTCCCCACCTATGCACCCAAGCAGGGACTGGGTAGAAATTGCTCCCTTTTTAGAGTCTGTATAGTTCTGGCTGATTGCTGACAACATTATCTGCTGAGGGCCAGTCCATTCCTATCTACAAAACTGTGATGTCTATGTCCAAGTTGCTCATGAAGTAGCTGTTCCTGAATTATATTGTTACATAGGTGTAGCAGCTGTAGCTCTTAGCCTATCATAAGTGCCGTGGCTTAAATACACAGCCTCCCTCCAATTTGAATCAATTGATTAGCTCCAACCAGTTTCATTAAACTATTCATTTAATTTAACAATCCACACATAAAATGCTTCACATTGCAAAAATTAGAGAATTAATCAACCAAAATATCAGAGGATGATGGCAGTGAAATCGTTTCAAGAAGTAGCAACAACTGTAAATGTTGAATCTCTGAATTTAGCTTCCTGTGCCTAATGGTACTCAAACAGTTGGGGTTATTTCACTGATTCACTGATTATTATGGTTTAGTCTTTATGGAAATTACTCTGAAAGCAATAAAACCTAGTTTTCTAACTAAATAGATGGTTTTGTGTTTTATGGTGTGAAAAAAAAAAGACCCTTGACTCAGCTGGGGGAAATTTGGCAATTTCCATTTCAGAGGTTTGTTTGTTTTGTTTTATTTGTTTTCCTCATGGGCTTTCCAACTTGGAGAGACCGACATGTTATGAGAGGAGGTGCTGTAACTTATACAGAGGTGCTGGAAGCTGCTAGTTACTGGGACATGAGAATATTCTCCCAAGTGTTGTGAAGAAATGTAAGAATGAAGTAGCTGAGCTCCTGTCAAAAAAAATATGCAGTCTCACTAAAATCAGCTATTCTGTTGGAGGACTGAAGGGTAGTCAATATCTTTATCTTTAAAAAATGTACTCAGAGTGATCCTGGGAATTACAGACCAATCACACTGAGTTTTACTTCAGGGTGTAAGCCACCTACTTACCTTGTAGACTCATCGACTTCAAGGCCAGAAGAGATCATCATGATCATCTAGTCTGCTATCCTGCACATCACAAGCCACAGAACCTCACCCACCCACTCCTATAATAGTGGGCCCATGACCTCTGGCTGAGATACTGAAGTTGTCAAATGTTGACTTAAAGACTTCAGGTTACAGAGAATCCACTCTAGTTCAAACCAGGAAGTGTCCTGTGCCCCATGTTGTGGAAGAAGCTGAAAAACTCCCAAAGTTTCTGCCTATGTGACCTGCAGGAACATTCCTCCCTGATCCCAAATATGGTGATCAGTTAGATGCTGAGCATGTGGGTGAGACCCACCAGCCAGACACCTGGGAAAGAATTTGCTGTAGTAACTCATAGCTTTCTCCATCTAGTGGCCCATCTCTGGCTGCTGGAGATATTTGCTGATAGCAGTTGCAGATGGGCCGTATTCCAAGGTAGGCAATCTCATCATATCATCCCCTCTTTCAATTTATCAAGCTCAGTCTTGAAACAAGATAGACTTCCCACCCCTCCCCAACAGGCTTTTCCAGAACTTCATTCCTCTGATGGTGAGAAACATTCATTTAATTTCAAGCCTAAACTTGTTGATGGCCAATTTATATCCATTTGTTTTTTGCCAACATTGGCCCTTAACCTAAATAACTCCTCTCCATCCCTGGTATTTATCCCTCTGATGTATTTATAGAGGCCAATCATATCTCCCCTCAGCCTCCATTTTGTTAAGCTAAACAAGCCATGCTCCTTACATCTCCTGTCATAAGGTAGGTTCCCCATTCCTTATAATCAATCTAGTAGCTCTTCTCTGCACCTGTTCCAGTTTGAATTAATCTTTCTTCAACGTGGGAAAACCAAATTGCACACAGTATTCCAGATGAGGTCTCACCAGTGCCTTGTATAACAGTAATAACACTTCCTTATCGCTACTGAAAATACCTCCCCTGATGCATCCTAGGATTGCATTAGCTTTTTTCATGGCGGCATCACACTGGCAGCTCATAATCATCCTGTGATTGACCAATACACCCAGGACTTTCTCCTCCTCTGTTGCTTCCAACTGATACGTTCCACAGCTTATAGCAAAAATTCTTGTTGTTTGTCCCTAAGTGAATGACTTTCACTATTAAATTTCATCCCATTTCTATTACTTGTTTCCAAGGTTGTCCAAATCTTCTTGTGTGATATTCTGGTCCTCCTAGATATTAGCAATACCTCCCAACTTTATGTCATCTGCAAATGCTATTAGCACGTTACCACTTTTTGTGCCAAGGTCATTAACTAAGATTAAGACTGATCCCTGAGGAACTCCACTAGTAACCTCCCCCACGCCTGACAGTTCATCTTTCACCATGTCTGTTGTAGTCTCCCTTTTAACCAGTTCCTTACCTGTCTTTATCTCACGTCTTATTTTTACTTCTCATAGAATATTAATTGTGATACTATAATATGCTTAGCAGTTACAGTTCAGGGAAATAATTTGCTTCATACTCGCTCATAACCTCTATGCTTTCCTCAGTCTGACCAAGCTCAAAAAATATCTTCCACACTGTGACAGAACAACTCACTAAAACATCATCTAAAACAGGAGGTTTGAACTCACTGGAACTCTATTATATGCTTGAGCAACTCGTGGAACAATAGAAAGCTATGCATGATTATGTAGGCAAGTACAAATATGCAAGGCAGATGTTGTCCTTGCTGCCACACACTGAAATCTCATACTGGCCTTTATATACCATTTTCTGTATGATAGTCCATTTGAGATGATCACACCAGAAAAAAATGGTAACGATGCATTTATAAGCCAGGTTCTGCTACTTATTATGTTTTCAAATGTAAAGTGAGTATAAAAGCAAAGAAATCAGTGATGGAGTTACTCCAGGAAAAGATAAACTAAAGCTCTAGGCTGCCTAGATCAACAGAATAAGTGAAAAGTTTAGGAGGAGAAAATGTGTTGTTGATATTGCTTGAGCTATAGCATAACAGCATTGTATCTAATTTCCACGATATATAGTTTATGCTCGATCACTGGAAGCTTAATCATATGTACCAAAGGTATGTCAATCAATGTAATTCTTTCTTCTCTTATTCCTCTTCAGTCTCTAGCATCAAACCAATGAAACCTCTAAAGAAAACTTCTAAATATGAATCTCTGCTACTTCAGATTTTTGAGCAGATCCTCAGCTGATATTAAATGGTATAGCTTTACTGAAGTCAACAAAGCTACCCCAATTTACACCAGCTAAGGTTCTGGGCTCACATAAGCAAATGTTAATAAACAGTGATAAATATGGTCCTGTTCTTCACTCCTGGGATGGTAGTTTTTCCTGAGTGAGGAGTGCATGCTCAGCCTTGACCGTAATAGCAAATTCACCAACTGTGAGCATTTCATCATGACAGCAACCAGATATTGGCATCCTACTTTGCACTCCTCTGTCAAAGTCCTGGAATACAAACAAGAGCATGGCTGAAAAAACAATGGCAAAAAGGACTTGAGCTGTTACGCATTCTTGTTTGGTGCCACTGGTGACAGGGAAGGCTTCTGATGCATCACCCTGTCCATCATGCTATCATGAAATAAGCAGATGACCGCAATCATCTTCTCTTCGCAGCCAAATTTATGAAAGAGTTCCCATAGGCCCTCACAATTTACCGTGTTGAAGGCCTTGGTCAGGTCAACAAACACCATGTACAAGTCCTTGTTCTGTTCATGAGCCTTCTCTTATATTTGCCAGTCTGCAAAAATCATGTCCATGGTACCACAGACAGCACAAAAGCTACTCTGGATATAGTGAGTCCACTAGGTGAGCGACGAGCCTGTTGAGGACAACCCATGCAAGGATCTTCCCTACTATAGATAGCAGTGAGATTCTGCAATATGTGTCACAGGTAGATATGATTCCCTTTCTTTTGTATAGATGAACTATGAAAGTATCCTTATACACTTGGGGTACAGTACCTTGTTTCCATATAGTCTTGAAAAGGCTGGCGAGATATCTGTCCAGGGGGACACCTCCAGATTTGTACTCTCAGGTGGAATACCATTGGGCCTGGTGATTTGCCTGTGGACAGCTGCTTGATGGACTTAGTAACTTTTGTTTAAAGAAGGATCCACAGACAGCTGCTCCAGGGCAGGATGCTGTGGGAGTGAGTCCATGGCTTTGACAGATCTCGGGGATTGACAGTTCAGGAGACTCTTAAAGTGCTGTACCCAGCAAGAGAGAGTATTGCCTTTGTAAGCAGTCAGTTACCATCTACTGTAAAGACAGGCTGTATCACTGTATTTTGGGCCAAACACAGCACCTTCATAGAATGCTTTCATATCATGCTTGTCAGCTGCTTTCTGCAGTTCTGCAGAACTTCCGCTCCCATCAGTGGTTCTTCATTAGCCTTAATCAGATTTGTAGTGTATGTTTGGCCTCATGGTACCTGGTCTCTTTCTTTGCTGTTTTCTTGTCCAAGATGTAGGACTTGTGTGTGGTGTGCATGGTCTCCAGTATCTGGTGTATTTCAGGGTCGTTCTCATCGAGCTACCTTACAAGCTTCTCACAAGTCGTAAGACCAGCATTTGGTGCCTCATGCTCATCTTTAATATCTCTAGGCTGTACAATTACATGGCCAACACATGCCACTGTTTTGACCTGGGATGCATCCAGGTTGTCTTATATTTGCTCACCTGTTGGAAGAGAGAAGTAGTTAGCTATTGGAGTTTGACCTAATGCCATGATCACCTAGCACCCGGCTCCACATGTCACAATCTGAAACAAGCAATAAAGTCTCCACGGAGAATGACAGGTTTCAGAGTAGCAGCTGTGTTAGTCTGTATTTGCAAAAAGAAAAGGAGTACTTGTGGCACCTTAAAGACTAACAAATTTATTTGAGCATAAGGTTTTGTGAGCTACAGCTCACTTCATCGGATGCATTCAGTGAAGAATGAGTTTGTCTTGGTGTGGCTCCCCTCTGATGGCCCTGCTGAGATCTTCATAAAATGCCTTCTTGACCTCGACTGCATGAGTCATTTTCTGTGCGTAGGCTCTGAGTATAGTGGCATACTGGTCTCTGGACAAGATTATGTGGAGCACCATAAGTTGATCATTGACTCCCTGGGAGAGAGAGTCAAGCTTTCGGCAATGTCAGACCATATGGAGAACCCTACCCCCTACTGTCTCGGCTCATCCTTGACCTTGCCAATCCAGAAGTAAGTGTAGCCTGCTCCCACCTCCTCAAGGAGGGACTCATCAGTGAGTCTGGCTTCACTGAGAGCAGGGATGTCTATGTTATATCTCTTCAGTGTTTTGGCAATAAGGGCTGTTCTGCGTTCTGTTCTTTGGTCATTGTCAAGGAGAATTCTGACATTTCATGAAGCAAATGTCAGTCTGTGAATCTGACCTACCTAGAGCCAGGTAGTAGCACACATGCTCAGATGCAGAAACATAGGGACCTAGTGAACTTTTAGAATAAAAGCTTAGGTGCCAAGCAAGCTTAGGTGCCTACTAGGGTTGGGTGGCAACTGAGCAGGGGTTTGGCAGATCACAGTGGTGTCTAAGCCCCATTTTTAGGCACCACTTTGATCTGCCAAACCCTGAAGTTCCTCTGTGGACTGGATTTGTGTGCCCATAGTGTGGACTGAGTATGCCCATTCTTAGTTCCCCTGAATGCTGTGGTGTGGGCCTGTGGCATGTACCGAGCACACTCATTCTCCAGACAATCCCCCTGCTCAGCACCACATGCCTTCTGCATCAATGCTGGCTGTACCTTCACCTAAAACTTTGCTGGAGTGCCCTGGGTAGTTTGCCCCATTGATAAATCAGATCAGAGGAAAGGGGAGGGTCTAGTCACCAAAGACCCCACACTTGTGCCCCAAATGCAATTTTGGGTCTTCATCTGGCATACCAGTGTTCAAACCAATCTGGTTCTGCATTTGTGAATACTTTAAAATTAACCACAGGTCATTTGCTGAAAGGGGAAGGGAGCTGTATCTCAGGAGCTCCTTGACCATGATCCCAAAATTTGCTCCACAAATGATATCCAAGGCCTTCTCAAAGCATACAAATTTCCAAGAAAATCTGACTTGTCTATGAACTTTAGAGGACTTCGAAAGTTTACCTTTAAACAAAAATGCCACTGTATCCTTTGTACGTCACTTGCACCTGTTGGCATTCCATGTCTTGCTCATAGTGGCACCACTTTGTAGAATCAAAGTGAAAGTCTCACAGAGCTTGAATTATTGGGTTTTGAAGCTGTGTGTTGGTCAGCTCAAGATCAGGCTAATGAGATACGTTCTATGTGAATACTGCTCATTTTCCCCCTAGCTTTGTGCAAAAGAAAACTGATTTCTTCCCATCTCAAAAACTAGCATGAAATATCAGCTGTGGTGTGCCAGCAACCAAACTGCATGCTGTCATTTATAAGCCTTCTCCCATTACCCACAGCGTGAGCAGTTTTGAGGGCAAAGAGAGACACTGAGGCACGGTCACACATGAAAGACAATACAACATTCTGGGAGGTAGCTACATCTCGGCCTGTTGATGACTTTATAAATTAGGACCATTACTTTGAATTCATGGCATGGACAGACCTGACCGAAACAGAGAGTTAATGAAGAACCCAGCAGTAGCTGACTTAAGTAGTCCTTACTCAGTATCACTAGCAAGATTTGAAGGTAGGAAACTGCAGTCCAACCCCCCTACACCTTTTCCAGCTGCAGCAGTGTACATCTCATTGGTATCTTGACTGTGCTGTGATAAGAAGCAAGCATCTCTGCATAATATGTATGCACTATGCATTGTTTGTTAAGAAGAACAAAACAAGTGAGAAACTGCCACCAACAATCGCCTCCTTCGGGCAGCATCTGAAATGTGACCACTAACAGTCATACACATGGAATCACACAATTCAGTATCTTCAAGTGTCCCCTGTCAACAATGGATGGGTGATAGTTAGCACGGGACATCTTGTTCCTAAAATGATGGTGCTGCCACCTGCTCCAGAAGCCATCCTCACCTTTGTGCATTGTGGCTGTGAGAATACCTGTGCAACAAGGCGATGCAAATGCCACAGGGAAGATTTGGTGTGCTGTGACACATGCAGCTGTGACAGTGATGAGCATAGCAAGAGAATATCAATCACATCAGACAGATTTGAAGGGGGAATAGAAGTGTTTCAACTATCTGCAAATTACTGGGACTATTTTATGAGTAAATGTAGCTCAAAAGGGTGTTGCGTTAGACACTGAGTAGCTCATAGTTATATGTAGAGATTACATAAAGTACATGGTTGTACTTTGTTATTCAAATGATGTATTCATACAAGGCATTCTACAGTCCTTCTACTAAGCATTATATAAGTAGTTTACATATATTGTCAATGTATTTAGTGATAGTAAGAAGATAATTACAGTTGTACCATGTGTGCTTTCGATTGATGTCTCTGGCCAAGCAGATAACATCAAAAAGGTGAGTTTTATAATTAGGCGGTTGGGGTCTTATCTGCATAACTTAATAAGAATAGCAGACAGAAAAACTTTTCTCAAATCAATCCATTCTACAAATAATGACATATTTTGATATAATATGTGGTACAAACAAGCTCATACTGTCATGTGATTACTGATTTTTCTTTAACCAAAGGCAAAAAAAGTTTGGGAAAATGCATAAACTATCTCACCTAACCTTTTCCCAGACTTTCCAGAATAGTACTGTTTTGAGTACATAGTTACATTATCAATTGTATTTAGAAATTTGCTTCCAATTTTGGTGAAAATTTAACTGTTTCTATGAATTATGGCTCTTTTTGTGAGTTTATGATTTCTTCAGCTTGGATGCCCAGTAACGTTTAAACATTACATGATATATAAAAAAAAGGCACCACTTTCAGCAGCTCCATCCGTCTTGGTGATGACCACCAGATATTGTGTCTAACATGTGGTAACCATGAAGTTTTTCTAGCTGATGAAGTACCCCCTAATGCCCACAGTGGGTCCAGGCTGGACCCCTATAGGCCATGGGCAGTGGAGGATCAGTGATGAGATTCCTGGCTAAGCCTGTGATAAATGAGAATTGCCTGGACAAGACAACAGTGTATTTCTTGCAGGTGAAAGTTAAGGCATAGAACACCAAGAGCTAAACTCATGTAACTCCACTGACATCAATGAATTGATACCCAGGTTTAATTTGCAGTTAGGGCCCAATCCAAAACCCAGTGAGTTAGTGGATGTCTTTCCTCTGACTTTAAAGGGGTTTGGATCAAACTATTAAATGGGGCTACATCTGAGAGGTGGCATCCTGTAGCCCAGTCACAGAGATCAAATGTGGAAGTTGCTTTCTCTGAAGACAGTTTCAATAGTCAGTAGTGTGAAATCATCCAGTGTGCTGCACGATACAGAGGTTTCTGGAGTGGGCACTCTGCATACCCTGCTTCTTTATTGCTAAAACAAAATTACCCTTGCTTCTATCCCTTCCACCCCGCTGAGTTTGCGTAAGATATAATTGTGGGTAGAATTCAACCTAATATTTTCTTATTGTGTTTGCATTAGCTTTTGGGATATGACAGAAGATTTTTCAAATACCACCGAAAGTAATGTAGGCGGACTCTCTTTTTAAATATATTTGGGATTATTTTTATGAAATATAACAGGGATGTTATACATTACTCTTGACAGCCTGAAGTTCAGCATACCAAAGGGAAAGCCCCCACCATGGGTAAATCCAGTTGTGGAAACCTGCCTTTGGAAGGTATTTCAAGGCAGCAATGCTCTTCCCAGCCATGCAGAACACACTGCCTGTTGTCATTTATTCTTTTGGATGCTTAGAATGCAATTGAACTCTACCTCCATTGAAATTGACTTTAAACTCTCCACTCCTCCCTTTGCTTTTCAGTTGGTCACCATGGAATTATTATTAATTATTATTATTATTTTATTTATTATTGTTTTGGGGTTTGGCGGTGAGGGGTGACATTGCAGTGATTGTGAGAGCATCCGATTAGGCCTGTCCAATGATGAATGCATCTCTATTGTCAGAGGAGATCTTGCAGGCCTGATGCTGTTATCAACAATTCAGGGGAAAGCCAGGGGGGTGGGGAGCGGAAGAAAACACAAGATGCATAGCATACTGCAGAATATAAATAGTTAAGATGCTGGAAATGGGATCAGAGGAGGCAGAGGTGGTGAAGACCTGTTAGACTGCTAAATTTTCCCCCCTGCTAGACCAAGGGAGAGTCACCATCTAGGGAAGATATTATGGGATAGTAAATGGAGATCACTCTGGATCATAACAAAAGGGTCAAAATATGCTTCATAGAATCATAGAATATCAGGGTTGGAAGGGACCTCAGGAGGTCATCTAGTCCAACCCCCTGCTCAAAGCAGGACCAATCCCCAATTAAATCATCCCAGCCAGGGCTTTGTCAAGCCTGACCTTAAAAACTTCTAAGGAAGGAGATTCCACCACCTCCCTAGGTAACGCATTCCAGTATTTCACCACCCTCCTAGTGAAAAAGTTTTTCCTAATATCCAACCTAAACCTCCCCCACTGCAACTTGAGACCATTACTCCTTGTCCTGTCCTCTTCTACCACTGAGAATAGTCTAGAACCATCCTCTCTGGAACCACCTCTCAGGTAGTTGAAAGCAGCTATCAAATCCCCCCTCATTCTTCTCTTCTGCAGACTAAACAAT